TTTTTTTTTTTTTTTGGTAAATCCCAAAAAGCCATGCCCCAATTTTTCTAATACGCCCCTTAAAATAAACCCTTTTCAGAATCTTTTTTATCCAGGCAATTCTACAATTTTTGGGTGGGGGTGCCATATGGAACTCTTTCCATTAATTAAGTACGTTGTTCTCACATTTTAAATTAAAGATATAAATGAATTGTTGGACAAATAGTTCGTAAATGACCTGCAATTATATTGAGTGCAAGGTAACAAATTTGACTATAATTTGGATCACACTTTTAATGTAAATAGGAACCCACTCAATAGTAAGACTCTGGTCTCTGTTACTAGAACCAAAAGTACAGTTAATAAAAGATGAATTTAATTATTAAATTCAAACGAAATAGTTAACTCACTTGTCAATGAGTTAATGAAATCAGATTTCATTTTGAACAGTGTAATATTTCGTTCGCGCGGGGAACGCGTTCCCCGCGCACTTTATCACTGAATAAAATCGTTAACGCAAATTTTCTGATGTTTCCTCAGGATCCGAGCGATGTTTGCTTGCTCGGTTTTCTCTACTTGCTCCAGTTGTGCATAATAATATACAAATATCAACCAAAATAGGCGTAAGATATGTTGTTTTTTTAACACTACTATTACCCGCTTAAAGAGGTTCCATCAAAATGGAAATTTCTGCGCAAAATTTGTCTCCCGGCACTTGTTCCCCACGCAATAAAAAAAACTTTACAGTTTGTAACTCTTGTAGTGTTAGTCTGCAAGTTGTGTGTATAATGCTCGTCTTATCCACCACAGTGAACCTATATTTATACAAGTACGTGATAAACATTGCAATAATGCAATTCAATTATGTCCCTCCATTAATAAATAGGCAAATTTATTAAGACAGAATCACATTTCTTCCTCTCTGAAAATTTAGAAAAAAAAAATCAAATAATTTGTCTGCCATATTCAGAAGAAGAATTTACTATCATTAATAGTAAATTCTTGAAATGCCTATACAAGTCTGGTATTGGTAATGAGCAAAGGACAACTTAAACATACACAATTTTCAAACCACCATTATAAAACTAAAAGGCCTAGTCTGGATTTTCATTTGCCCTTGTGCATGGTTATTAATTAATAACATCCAAAATTTCCCGAAATCAATGTAACTCCGTGATAAATGAAGAGTAAAATGATACTCTACTTTCGCTTCTTTTTCACATTCTTTACATTTTTGGTAATGATACAAGACTGTATGAAACTTGAAAGTAATATCGTACACCAACGTAATTGGTATGATTAACATTATAGTTACACCACAGCAGTTACAGATTTACATTTTATTTCTATTGAAGTCTATTTTAGACTATAGAAATAAAGGCTAAACAGGTGACGCTTTTTTTTTTTTGTTATATAAAAATTATGTTCGAATTCTTCTTGATAACTTGAATCTGTCTTCAATAAAATTAAAACCTTGGGCCAGAGAGCACTTGAACTTCAACTTTCATGTTTTACATTGGTTTACTAAATTAATCAGAAATCTACCCACGATTCACAACAAACGATCAATAAAAAGTTAATTTAATAGTTAATCTTATGAATTATTAATACTGATTACTATGTAACAGTGTCACAAATTCAATTTTAAATTATATTTGTAGCCTCTTACTAAGTTGCCGTTCTCGCCCTCAGGTCTTATCCAACTTGAATTGAACAATTATGCAAGTCTTATCCAAATTAATAATTATCATTATGATAAAAATTTTTTCAACACAGCTTTTCCCCGACAATTACCCTCACTTACCGTTGTTATTTCTTGGACACTAGACTTGAAATGTTTCTTTGTTAAATTTGCTGCCAAATAACTGACTTGCGACAATGCAAATGACAAAGAATCTAGGTTCATAGTTCCATGAATACAACTAGGAACACGTTCTACAGTTCAAGTTCATACAGAACCCCGATAAGATGAAGATGTAACAATATTTTCATGGAACCCCAAAGTCCTCTAACCAAATTCATAACACACCACTTAACATTACGACTAGTTCTACATCATTCTCGGTCAAGTTTTTATTTTTGTAGCACTCATCTTCGTAGAGGTCGCAATTAAAAAAAAAAAAAGTGTTAAGCACGTGACAGAATTTTGTGGTTCTTTGTTAAAATCGTAAGAACCTGTCGATTTCAAACCAATATAAGATATAGATAAATTTAGGATTTTATAAAAGAATAAAAGTAATTATTTGGGGAGCTCAATAATAAATGATATTTATGTTGAAGTGGGGTTTTGAGACAGTTTTCAAAATTATTTAAAATAGTAAATTACTATTCAGAATCAAAATTTGTATTAAGTAGAACCTTGATTATATATTGCATTCGTAAAGTTAATAAAAATAATCCACTTTATAGTTTTGGTATTTCAGGTTGGATCTTATTTGCTGCGTACGACTTTTAACGATATCTACATTTTCGTTGAAGGTAGCCGTTGCGTACATCCTATTTTTCAAATTACCATCAAAAATACAAAATCTGCCGCTTTACAAATTAACAATATTGTTATAAGTCTAATTTTGAAATTGATTAAATCACACCCTTTATAGATATTTTGGTACACATACATAACGATAAGGAGACTATTAGAGTTTACCAAATAGCCTACACACTCGAATTTCATATCTATACTTCTACAATGAATTAAATCAGGAGCTTTAATAAAGACGCAAAGCAAGGGCCAAACCTATATGCAATAAAGATGATCTGGAGACTGAACACAATTAACATTACAAACTCCATATTTATAAATACCAACTATTCAAAGTCTCTCATTCAAAATTATATAAAACGGAAGCACTGAAAAACGAAACAACGAAGTTAATCCACCCTATTCCAAATTTGGTATGTAGACAAATGTTCTATGACTCAGCGAGAGACCTCACTATCTTAGAAAGTTTGAGGTGGCCATTGTATCATCTTCTCTTTCTAATTTCAAAATATAAAAACCACACATTTCTTTTTCTCTAATGTCTCTGGAATAATATTTTACCTAAGGGATTTCAACTACGTTTCCATTATCCAAATCTCAAGAACATTTCTTATAATTGTAAAATAAGCAAAAAACTCCACAGTTGTTCCAAATCCTTGGTTCGATCTATCCGAACAGTTTTTTTTTGTAAGGAACGAGATTTGAAGTCAAAAGACATGAATCACTTGCCAACAAAACTACGCCTATCACGTGAACTGTCCATAGCTTCCATTATTCGCAAACGTATACATAATCTCAACACTGAATATTTCAACGTTTTAATTACTCACACGTTCGACAAACTAACTACGTGGTGAAAAAGTCGTTACAATACCCAACGATTTATCTCTCACGAAGGGCAAACACTGTTCTGTCAAAAAGAGCTTAATTTTGTACCCTCTCGCAACCGACGTGAAGAATTATTCTACAAAAGCTGACATGGAGAAAATTTACAGGCGATGTCGTATAAAAGTTCATTTCTCCAAACTAGGTTCACATGAAAATAATAACAACACTGTGAACACTGATTCCAATGAAGCCCAAACTCCAAACACCTCGATCTACCTCTAGTGACACATTTCTTGGATCTTCAGTACATATCACACATATGACAACAACATTTATCATATCTGAACGTTTCAAGTGCTTCGAAATTCAGCATCCAAATTGGACACCACTAGATGGAGAATTCCCGATTCTTGACACTCGTCAGTCATCATCGTTTAATAATACCTATACGAGGTTCAATCTCGCCAAAGACGAGAGTCTTGTTCTATCTCCATTGAAAAGCTTCAATGACATTGGCATCAAACCAGCCAACAAAGGTGGCGTTGTTGTTGTTTGGAGTAAAGACATGTACATTCAACAGGCTAAAAAACAGCTAAACGATTCATCTTTCTACAGACCTTTATCTGAGAATTCTCTTCCACATTTTCAAAAACTTAATAAGGATAGTATAGAAGAACAAATCAAATTTAACCACTTCTGTATTCTGCCAGAAATCTTGTATTTTAACACCCCAGAATTGTCCTTTTCTAGATGGTACCTAAACTCCATAAATCAGGGTACCCAGGACACCTCATAGTTTTTGCTTTTAACTATCAGGCTGAACTGATCTCGACTTACCTTGAGATTGTTTATAAACCTCTGGTAGATACCCTCCCTATATTTGTTAAAGATAGCACTGATGTTCTTAATCTTTTAAAAAGTTTGACTCTGTTACCATCGTTAATTATGTCTTCACTATGGACATACAGTATCTATACACAACAATGGACTGACCACACTTAAACATTTTCTCGACAAAATAAGCAACTTGTATCTCAACAGACACCATACTTCAGCTAACTGATTGAATACTCACTCTGAATGCTTCTGATATTTACGGATAAACAGATCAACAGCTACAAGGAATTAGTTGCTATGCGAACCAAAATGGGTCCATCTTATAGAAATTTTTTTGTCGGTTATGTAGAAAAACAAGTTTACAGTACTTTCATTCACAAACTCCGTCATTTTTATCGGATACATCGATAGTGTTCTAAACCTTTTCATTAGACCCAAAGAGGAACTCGAAGTTTTTTTTCACTATGTCGAAACTTACCACACATCACTTAAGTTTACTACTCAAATTTCTACTCAGAATGCCCACTTTTCAAACATCACAATTGACATTTCAATATCAACACTTACCTCTAACGTGCATTACAAACACACTGACAGCAATTCTTATTTCAACTTCAATTCTTTTCATCTAACTGAAACCAAACACGCTATTTCCAAACAATGACTATGTCTAAAACGGCTGTAGTCTGACAATGCTGAATTCAGACGTAAATCAAATAGCATGATAATTTTTTAAACAACAGGACTATCCTGCTTAAATAATCTGTCAGGCTAAACTTTATACACTCAATTTATCACAAGCTGACTGTCACCACTTCAGTAACAAACCACTTACTGACAGAGTTCGTTTAATCTTTTCATACCATCCTTTAAACAGAAAGATCACCAGAATTGTCTAATGCAACTTCACGTTACTAACAAGAGAACAATCATCTAATGACATATTTACTTCCCCACCTTTAATTACTTTCATACATGAGAGAAACTTAAAATACTTCTTAGTGCATTTTAGGTTACACACCGAATTAACTTCTTCCATACAAATCAATGGTCAGAATTCGAGAGTGTGAACGCACTATTTGTATCACACGTGATTATGTCAATGATTTTTCCACTCTCTCTAATACTACTTTCACCTTACACGTGCTTATTCATCTGTACATCAGAGTGCATTATTTATTGAATTCACTGTACTATGTACAATACTATCTATATTGGAGAAATTAGTCCCAGGTTAGATGATAGATTTCACGAACATCTTCGACTTGTTCGCAATGGCACAATAGTCGTATTCAGTACTTGCATATATTAACTACCCAGACCACAATGGAATTACTGACATGAGTGTACTTGTTTTATAGCATGCCTCCAATGGCACAATCGACTATTCAGTACTTACATACTTCAACTACCCAGATCACAACGGAATTACTGACATGAGTGTACTTGTTTTACAGCATGCCTCCAATGGCACAATCGACTATTCAGTACTTACATACTTTAACTACCCAGACC